CCACACACACACAAAAGGCCATTTCCACATGATCAGGTTATGTGAACAACTAGAGAAAACAACCAAGAGAAAAAACAAAAAAATTAAACAAACCAAAAAACCACAAAAAAATAAAACCAGTCTCAAGAAAAACAGTAACAATACTAAGAACCACCACCCCCCCAAAAAAAAAAATAAAAAAAAAATAAAACAACAACAACAAACAACAACAACAAAACAAACGCCCCATTAAAATACAAACGACCAAGTGAAAAAAACAACAAACAAATAAAACATAAATCAAAAGAACAAAAAACCCACTAAAACAAAAACAGTCTCAAGAAAAACCGTAACAAAAGACTGAGTCGTGAAGCGCCCTCTACAAAACCTCCCTATCAGTTCCATGTCGGGTTTCCTCGAGTGCCTCCGATAGCTCGATGACGTCACCAAATGAGTCGCGACGTGGTGGAATCAGGCGCTTGTCAATTTTCGGGAATGTAGAGTTACTGGTATCATTCGAAAACCGATTTATTTGCCTTGTTTCCGATGGTATAGATATCCATCTGTCTTGAATAGAACTCAAGATATTTGCGATTGAAGGATGTGAGGTCGCCTGGTTTCAGTGGTGAAATTAGCGAGAAAATGGCCGTCAAAGTTTGGTAACTCCAATAGCTACATAGTCCACGAAGACAGACAAATGAGATATTTTGTGCCTTTAATCAGTGTTTTTCGGTAAAATTCATATGGAATTGTGTTTTGATATGAACATAAAAGAAGTTGAGCCAAAAAATAAAAATTCGATAAAGATTTCAAAACTGGCAGAAAAATGTCTGTTTCTCCGATTTCTGTTTTTTGGCGAGCGCCTGATTTCACCACGCTGCCTCACAATGATTCCCGACTGCAGAAAGGAAATTGGAACAAAAAGCTGGCAAAGATAAAAATCCCTTGAGACTGATTGATTCTTGTTCTTGTTTTTGTTCTTGTTCGTCTTGTTCGTCTTGTTCTTTTGGCCTTGTTGTTGTTGTTGTTGTTGTTGTTGCTGTTGTTGTTCTTCTTCTTCTTCTTCTTCTTCTTCTTCTTCTTCCTCTTCTTCTTCTTCTTCTTCTTCTTCTTCTTCTTCTTCTTCTTCTTCTTCTTCTTCTTCTTCTTCTTCTTCTTCTTCTTCTTCTTCTT